CTTTAAACAGAAGCTAACAACTGCATGCCTATAAATAATTCCTTGTAGAGTTGGGTATCCTCCATCTCCTTTCCCTTCCAAGTACAGGTCATCAATTTTTTCCACAAGTGAACTCAACAATAGCTAAATTAATGCAGTTTGAGGGTAATTGTTACAGGCTTGAGGGCAATAGTCAAGGTCCAGAATAAAATACTTAACACAAGTATTCTTCTCATTTTCAACTACATCATCACATATGAAAGAGCCTCCAAAATATAAACCACAACTAATTACAACATTCTGAATTATTATTTTATCATATGTAACACATGGGACTACTCTGCTTCAGGCATCCAGATAAACTGGGATAAGACATCACCAAAAGTAAAACACAGGGTTTCAGTTCAGATTTCTTTCAAATTAGAATCAGTAAAGCATATCATTAGACTACACACAATCAAAAAATCACTTGTTCACAAATCAAGAGGTAACGGCAGTAGCAAATATGACTTTTCTGAAAGAATCAAATTTAGTTTTTATTTAAATTAATCATGATGCGGTTCCACTGGTAAAGCATGATAACGACAACTTACTTTGAGAATACAAGCTGTATTTAAACCCTTCCGTAAGACCAAGAAATTTCTTCATGGTTACCTGAACAACTATCCCCTTAGGTTACATTTTCTCTAGTTAACTAGTCCACTCCAAATTTTCTATTTATAATCCTCAAATGGATGCACCACAATCCCTTGATACAGCTATTTCCAGCAGACATTCTATTTTAAATTATGACTTTCTGTTACGAGATTCTGCTATCGCAGTCTAAAGACTAGCAGACATGTAAATGTGTCCCAGTGAAAAAATGCGTGTCCATTTCTGACTTTAGAATTTTATCAGTAACTTCATTTCTATAGCTCCTGTAATATTATTAGACTCAATGGGGCCAACCACAATTACTGCTAGCTTTCTCTCAGAAATTACTTTTTACTCTAAATTTTGAAAATAGATACCTACTACTGATCTTTTGAATATACTATTTTATTAAGAAATAAAAAAAGACACTGAGGATATCATAAAATGGCAACAAAGCTTTGAAGTACTAAGAGAGCATTCAATTGTCATAAAGAAAAAAAAGCCCATCAAAACCTTCATAATAATTTAAATTCAGTGAAGAAATGTTGTATTTATCTGGCAAAATGGCAATATCTTCTTGGCAATATAATAGCTTTTACTCTCTGCCAACTAGTTTAAATGATAGATTTAAAAAAAGGTGAAAAATGAAATTATTCAGTTCACTAAGCCAGAAAACATCTTTAAGTAAATTATTTGGGGAAAGAATAGAAGTAATGCTTTTGTTACTTGTGTTATAAACATTGCCTTCTGTATATATTGTAGCTGATGTTAATATTTATTCCATAGTTAGATAATCCTGCATTAGCTAATTAAATTCAGTTGTGAACTTATTAACCAGTATTTCCCTGATCATTTAGTTAAAGTATTTTGAATCACACCCTATTAAATGTTAGCAGGCTTTTCAATGTACTACAGTTTGCAAAATTAAAATAATGGAGTATCTTCCATTTATACAGACTCTCTCCTCACTAAGAACTCCTAATTAATTTTGAAAACTTAAATTTTAGCATAATTATACTAATTTCTATTCAAAAGTAATAACTGCTGCAAGGATTTAGTTTGTATGATACCAGGCATCCCTAATTTCTTTTCAACTGCTACATGTAAGAGAATAAATAGAAATCAAAGAGTGCAAGGGTGCTCAAGAACCTTCCAGGATTACTCTACAGATTCATTTTCAAATCCAGGTCTCACACTAAAGACAGTAATAGACTTTAAACATAATTTTTGATTGCTATGCTATTAAAAAAAAAAGTTTTTCATTGATTTATTTTTACGTATACATTGTTAATGCACACCTTCAACACAGAATGGCCTGGGTTTGCTCAATTACTGTACAAAAGAATATTTGTTCAGAGTTTATGTTTTATTCTTGAAAAACGTAGCAAGAAATCAGAAAATAACACTAAACCTCATTATACCAAATCCAAGGATCATACATATTTTTATATCTATATATGTGTATACACACCATATGTATACACCTATGACGGATTACTTCCTTGCAAGCTTATCCTATCTGTCACTGACAAAGGAATCCTTGAAATTCACAATTAAAGCTTCCTATGCCCTCCAAATTCCTGTTTTCACAACAAAATCATTTTACTGTCAGGTACTCTGCCAGCATTTTCATTGTTGTTACCCTACAGCTTCATCAACTCAAGTTAAAAGCGCACAGAGAACAGAAATCCTGAAACACAAATTCTATACTGTTATCATTCATACTGAATTACTACATGAGTTTCTCAGTAGACTTGTGTAATGTGCCAAGCTTCTGAAATACAAATTCGTTTTCTGTCAGTTAAAAAATAAGGTATGTTCTTAAATCCTGATATTTCCTTGTACATTCCACACAGAAGTAGAAAGGATACATTTTAGCGATCAAAATATTAGGGCTTACAAGTCAACAGCAGCAATTTCAATTCAGGGAAGTCCTCCAATTTCTTTCTATTACATTGAATTCCGTACTTTTAACAACACTTGAAACGTGTTAAGACAAAAGCTTGTAGTGAATTCTCAGCTGTTCACCCAAGATATCTACAGTCATTGAAATTTATATACAAAGTTGAGCTGCCCTAATATTGGACTGAATACACTTTTAAGTTCTTGCATTCCTAGCAAGCTAATTCGTATGATCATACGCTATAGACTGGGCAATTTGCTTCTTATTTGTGGCTCATGACATGGATTTAAATTTGGTATGGATTGATAAAATACACAGCAAAATGTATAAGAAGTTCAAAGTTATCAAATTTTTCAGACAGCAAAAAAAAAATTTTTAAAAAATGGAGAATCAAATTTTTACCCGATCTCCTTTGGAAAGGAAAAAGTCAATGCCACATAAAAAGGAAAAGAGGAGATATGAAGAACATCACAACATAGTCCCTTTTGTGTTCATATTGCATAATGCACTTCAAATGCAAAATTAAAAAAAAAAAAATCTGTTACAGGAAAACACAGCGTGCATGACATATACCCTCAACAGGGTCCAAAGTACAAGAGAATGCAAAAATACTTCAATTTGTATCACGAAGTCGAACTCTACTGATGATACATGAGAAGGTTCAGTTATTTATTACACAAAAGAATTAGCCTTTGACTTAAACAAAAAACCAAAACAAAACACAAAACAAAACAGAAACCCAAAGCTGCAATAATGTTGCAAGCTCAATAACTGCCCTTTAAAGATATTGGCACCGTTTCATTCTGCATGCTTGATACCAAGTGAAAATGCGTAGAACAACCACCCATACACATTTACAAATTAAGATCAGTTACAAACGGACATTCTACAATAACAGCAGAGTAGATGTAGAAGGCTGGAGCACCAATCCTATGAAGATAGGCTGAGACAGTTGGGGTTGTTCAGCCTGAAGAAGAGAAGTCTCCAGGGAGACCTTATAGCAGCCTTCCAGTACTTAAAGGGGACTTATAAGAAAGATGGGGACAAACTTTTCAGCAGGGTCTGTTGCGATTGGACAAAGCATAATGGTTTTAAACTAAAAGAGGGCAGATTCAGACTTGATATAAGGAAGAAATTTTTTACAATGAGGGTGGTGAAACACTGGAACAGGTTGCCCAGAGAGCTGGCAGATGCCCCATCTCTGGAAACATTCAAGGTCAGGCTGAACGAAGCTCTGAGCAACCTGATCGAGTCAGGAATGTCCCTACTCATTGCAGGAAGGGTCAGACTAGATGACCCTTAAAGGTCCCTTCCAACCCAAGCTATTCTATGATAAGTAAACAAAGATCATGGCATGAAAGGAAGTGGAAGGAATATTTAACTTGCCTTTCACCTAGCAGTTACTGCCCACAAACATTACTGGGTATTTACAGTTGATTATTTCACTGAAGCCCTGTGATGTCCTAACTGAACCGGTACATGTCCTTGATCCCTCCCTGTCAACAAGTATTGCCAGTTCGTACCTTTTTTTAGGATCCTAGTACTTTTCAATGTGTAGGCAAGGTGTTATAGTGTGGGACTGTTTTTCTCTGTGGTTACATATATTAATTTTTATAATTACATGCACTTTATCACAGGACGGGCAAGATAAAGTATTAAACAAATCCTATAACCTCAGTGTTCCTACCACCCCCAAAAAAGCACATTCCCTTCCACTCAAGCATCACATGAACAGGTTATCAGGATAAAGCCATTTTTCTGTTTCACCCTTGGTTGGCCTGGGTGGAAGTTAAATTTCCGAAAGGTAAATGGACTTCACGCAACCTTTCTACTTTAGGTCTTCTTTATATCTCTCCAGACTCTCCTACCAGAATTTACTTTTCCCCAGACCAGAACCCTTACTAGCAGAAGGAAAATTACATGTTTTCTCTACTGTCTTTACCTTCTGGTAGTAAAGTCACCAACACACAACTTCAAATAAAAATGAATCAGGTGGCCTGGCATGTTTGGTTGAAGAGAGATCAAACACAATCATTTCAATGACATTTTATAGAAGCTACTGTAATGATCCTTCTCTTATTTCCTAGATGAGTCTTTTTTTTTCCTAATTCCTAGACTAATGTTTTTTCTTTTTTTACTTTGGAGGTCTTCTATAGCGGGATCCTGTATAGCAAGTTTAGAACTACTGAAAATAACGTTCCTCTCCCAGCTACCCTTTCCAGTGTCTCTAAGTAACAACCCATGAAACTCCCAAAGCCTGTGGACCAATATCAAAAAAAAAAAAAAAGACCCTGAATATGCTCCTAGTTGTACAATCTAGCTTTGAAAGCAATTTCATTACTAAAAATAAAAAAATAAAAAAGAGATACACTCAGTCTTCATCGTCTGTTTGCATTCCTTCTGTGCCACACCAAAGAAGCAACAACGAGCTGTCCATGCTCATCCTTATACAAAGAAGACAGCTAGAGAAATCACTTCCACTTACTTGGTGTTAATTCTGGGTTTCCTTTCAAGTTCATCATCTTTGGAATTGAAGGTCCATATATGTCCGCATCAAGTAAACCAACTTCTTTTGTCTAAGGAACAAAATTTTAAAAAAGTATTTGTCAAAATATCTGTCTTCCTTTATGAATTATTAGTTAAGCAAAATTTCAAAACTGCCCATAAAAATAAAAATACGATTGGGATTTTAGACATAAGTTATCACTGTTTCCTTTCTCTCTAAATTGCAATTGAAGCATAAAATACAACCATGTCTCTACAAGTCGAGTCAGACGTCTTCACAAACCTAGATTCTCAAAACGCAGAATCCTCACTTGCACATTTTCTTACTTGCAATGTAGACCACTGACTTTATATTAACAAACATTAGAAACAATTTCCTCTCTACTCCATGTACATTTATGCAGAAATAATATTTTAACTTCTTTTAAAGGTATCGTATTTTATTGTAAAAAAAAAAAGCTATGTTTGTAAATATATTTGAAATAATGCAATTGGAATTATACTAGTGACTACAAGGAATGTGAAAAACATAAAAAACGTATTTATATCTTCCATTTAAGTGGCCCGAGTAAACTTTTGCAGACATCTTGAAAATACTGAAATGCAAGTCTTGAAGCCAATTAAGCAGGCATTAACATTTTAATCATATGCATTTACACAAAAGAACACTGAAAAATGGGTTTATTTAACTACATATGGTACATTAGGCAATAAACTTTAAATAAAAATTATTTCAACTACGTAGTCTAGACTTACAAGATTAATTTCTATATTTTTTTATAGCTATACATACATATTTTGTGGAAATTAAACTATTTTTCCTACAGATGGCAAGACACACTACCAATTACCAAGTTCTGCAAATCAAGCAGTAAAGAACAAGCCCTTTAAAGGGCTGAATGTCAAGTTTCTCTAATATAAAAAGCTAACTGTATTCAACATTTTGCAAAATTGCAAGCAAGTATATTTAAGGGCTTGTTTGAAAGGTTAAGACAGCAATGGGAGCTTTTCCAAGAATGCCAAATCAGACTTTCACTGTTTGTGTTTCAAAAGGTGTGCTATAGTTTTTGGATGACACTTTCGTAATTTGGTATCATATATTAAGCCATTTCATTATCATAGGTTTGATGGGAAAGATGGAGAGAAGGTAAAGGTTCAGTGATAACTATCAAGTTTCTGGTTAGAGTAAGAGGCTTTTAATCAAGTATACAGCATCTCTACTCTTGAACAGGTTTTCTAAACATGAAGCATGTTCTGTGGCATCACAATCAGTTTGTATATTTGTTTAAAGTAGAAATGCACCTGGATTAAAAACCTAGGTATTCAAGCCATTACTTCTATATAAATCTGAATTTCAATTAAGATAAAGAAACTAAGTCATAGAAGTCTAGACACCTGAGAAGTAAGACTGACCCTTTTTACTACAACGTATGTAATAATTTGAGTTTGGCAGGTCATTTTTCTGTGGGAGTTGCTTTCTTCTTTCTTGTCTTCTCTTTTTTTTAAAGCTGTTGATACTGAATCCTGAAGACACTCTTAACAGCTGAACAATTTAAAGTGTTAAGTTTACCTAATATAAGCCAAATGTGTCTTAAATTTTATAGCTGAGAAGTAAAAAAATGCATTACTGTATATGATCTACTAAGTACTTTGAAAAAGAAGTTTTTGTTACAAAAGAATCAACCAAATTTGGGTTCATTTATTCAATATAGTTTTATTAAAGAGAGCAAAACATATGTAATTACATGGATTGTTTAATTTAGAGTTTTTAAACAATTTTTTCTTTATAACATCTTGTGAAAACTATTACAAAAAAGTTCAGGAGTTACTCTGACAAATTATTGTACTTGCTGCCTACTGTATGAAAGCTGCAATTTCAAAAAGATTGAAAAGACCCATTTTTATGTTAGATTTCAAAGACATCAAAAACAGTATTAGAACTTCTTTGTTCTTGTACAAAATGCATATTTTAACAGATTAGAAAGATTCATGACTCAGTCCTTTTATCTGTGTCAGCAGCTAATCGAACGCATCAAAACATCACCTAAGGGCTGTGCCACTTAATTCCTTCTCAAATGAAAGTAAATATTTGCAGAAAAACCTACATAGTGTTTCAAATCTGTCTGACATCCTTTACCTCAACTTTTTGAGGGTTTCCCTCCCAACAAGGATTGTGATCATGCACTGACTGACTAACTACAATGATCTTACAACTCACTACAGTTTTGTTTTCAGCCTAAAGGGACTGAAAATTTAGGAGGATCTAAATTAAGTAGATTGACTTTATGATCTCCTGGGCATAGTCAGATCTTCACCACCACAGGCCACTTATTCCTAGGAGTCAGCAGGATTTTGTATTTACAAATGTATAAAATTTCCTGAAATTAAGAATAAATACATGCACACGAGAAAAACATCCCTTGATTACCTAGGAGGACTTTGCAAATTCAGCTAGTACTTCGAATTACAAAGCTGATCTTGGTTTCAAGCTAATACAATAAACCTGACATTTTCTCAAAAAAAAACTTACACACTTCTTCAAAAGTAAGAATGATGCCTGTTTCCAAGATGCACTGCTTTTGTTCGTGGATATGGTTCAATAAAATGGTTGTCTTCAAACAGAAAAATAATTAACAGATTCTCCAACTCATGTTAAAGAAAGCACAAGTGTTTCTGTAAGAGTGGTGCTTTCCACAGGATTCTAGGAGAAACATCTTTTGGACAATCTTTAAATCACTGGCAGAACCTCACTACAGATAGCCTAAGGTAGGTTTATTTTCTTCACCAAGCAATTCAATGTGTTAGATAAAATGAGCTCATACTGCCTAAAAGTAGCAGTTTATATAGAAAGCACTGGCTAAGGTTTTAAGTTTTGTTTCTCCCATCCATCCCTGCATTTGCAGTATGTAAGCATCCCTAGAATACTGATAATAACCCTTTACTCAAAGTTCAATTATCTTGGAAAAGCATTATGGTAGCTACCAAGGGATTTTTTTTTTTTAAGACAGGCACAGCACAGTTCAGATCACCTCTTCCGGCATTTACAGTGTTTTAAATTCGCAAGAGATTAAATAATTTGCACACACCTGGATGCTACCACATGAAACTCCTCATCAGAATTACCAACAACAGATACTTCTCATGCTGAGTGAAGTTTAATCCAAATGCATGAGTTACAACAATAAAAAAAAATCAAATTAAATTTTAATAAATTGTGTTTTCATCCATATAACCCACACCTCATAAATCAGCACATCTTTCAAAGTACTTCTGTATTAAAACAAATCCTAAAAAACACGTATAACATCAAACAAGGCAAAAAAGAACATCTGAGCAGAAGGAACAGATTACAGGGGATCACAAGCAGGATCAAGCAGACAACTTAAAAAACAAAGAAAGAAAAAAATAGAGCTCTATGATTCCTCTAATGTCCTCTGACATTATTTTCATATGCATAGACATCTCATACTGACGCTAAATTGGTACTTTTTTCTTAAGTAATACTGCAGAGAGAAATGCAGTGCTCAAAGCACATCCAAGTATGTCAAAGTCTCCCTGCTCCTAAGTGTTTTCCAGAGCACAGCACACACCACTGCTACAACCACCCTCGCCACTCTGCAGGAAAAGGATTCCAGTAACGTAACTCCACCATCTTTCTTATGGCTGCATTTTCTCCTTATAAAAATATTTCTATCCTGTGCTATTAAACAAACAGCATTCCATCTCTCCAGCTGGCACAGCAATAATCTAGTTCAAAACAGTTGTTCTCAAGTTAACAGCTGTCCTTTTTCTTCCACCTGCCCGGCTGTGGAAGAAAGTTTGAATCAATCTTCAAGCTTACTACAATTGGAAAACACTTTCTGAAGACCTGTATTTTTTTGTCGCCTTACTGCAAGTTCTGAACAGCTTAAACTCTCAAGGTATAACTGACAATGTAACCATTCCCATATGATTTAATAATGTACTTCCACATCACTGGAAGCTACTTTGAAAAAATATACTAAACTAACACATGCAGAATTATCAACCTCTCAATACAGAGTCAGATCCTTACCAATATTCCATCGGGTAGAGAGAACACAAGATTAGAAATAAATATATAGTCAGCACATGAAAACACAACACCACTCTTTTTGTCTATTCAGCAAAAAATATGCTTAAACACTCACAGATGTTCACATTTACCTTCTTATCAATGCTTTTAAGGTTTCCCCCCTCCCTAGCTAAATGCTCTCTAGCACAGAATCATAGAATAAAATCATAGAATAGT